ATGGCTGGATTACTCGTTCTACACACTTCAGCAGGGAACGCCATCAGGCAGACTAGAATGGTGATTACGGAAGGGATTACGTTCCTTCTTCGTCTCTTCCAATTAAATATAACAGAGGAAGTTGGTTAAGTGGCAGCTCGCCCATGGCTGCTTGTCGCCAGAGAGCGCAATTCTGCACATTGTTGAAGGTCCCTATCAGACTGTACGGTGACAGAAGGAACCTAAATAGCTTTACAGCCTCTCTACACCTACAGTAAGCTATAAAATGTCCCTGCACAGTCACGGAAAGTGCGGTTCTGCACACTGTTGCAGGTCCCTATCAGACTGTACGGTGACAGAAGGAACCTAAATAGCTTTACAGCCTCTCTGCAGCTACAGTAAGCTATGAAATGTTCCTGTACAGTCAGGAAAAGTGCAGTTCTGTACACTGTTGCAGGTCCCTATCAGGCTGTACGGTGATAGCAGGACCCTAAATAGCTTTACAGCCTCTCTACAGCTACAGTAAGCTATAAAATGTTCCTGTACAGTCACGAGAAATGCAGTTCTGTACACTGTTGCAGGTCGCAGGAAACTAAATAGCTTTACAGCCCCTCCACACCTGCAGTAAGCTATAAAATTTCCCCGTTCAGTCACGAAAAATATCGAGAAAAGTTTCGCCGGCTGCAGCCAAATTTTCCGGAAGCTCTTACTGACGTAATGACACGCAGAACACATAAGCTGATGTATAATTCTTGGCGGCCCTGCCTAATACATTGTCGCGAACCACTGTGGGGGGAGCACGACCCAAAGTTTGCGAAATTATACTTATAATTCACGATGATAGTGATGATAATGCTGAATAAGGAATTGTCATCACTTCATTAACAGCAGGAATTAAGTCGGGCAGTTTGGACTCCATGCTCAACAGGTGCGCAGAACAATAGCTTCAGGTTATCACCCAGCGGCCATCATTGTGTAATGGAACGCGGACATGATATAATCGATGGAAGAAAAATTCGACCACCAAATACAACAAAGCATAATAGACTTCTTTTTTTTACAGACAATAAAAGAATGGCGCATTATTTATTGAACGTAACTTCTATTTTGCTCTCTGGTAACCGGCGGGTGATTACGCACGTGCATTCCTTCGAGTGGATTTACTTTAGGGTGTTTTTAGAGTTGCACCTGGGCTTAATTAATTAAGCATCACACCAAGATAAATGAGAGAGTGACGTTACAACTCAATCATCCTTAACTTAGACACTAGATGGGGGTGTTTGGTTAGCTTCACGCTCGTGCCGCTTTATTCTCGTAACAACAGCCTGTGTTAAAAATTATAAAGGAGGCTGGAGGGGCCCTAGAACGTCTGCCGGGGATCAAACACCAATACCCCAGACGTCCAGCCCACAGCCTCGTCCCTATATCAACTGAGCTATCCCGGCTCCTTCGATGCTTTCACCAAAAAGACTATAGAGTAATGGTACTGAGGCAGATAAATAATGAATTTGAAAGGATAGGTAATGACAATAGTACAATACCTACACCTGGCTGGACGGGATTCGAACCGTGCAATTTCTGGACATAAGTCATTAATGTTGCTGCCACACCAAACTCGTAGGGTGCAGAAGGCTCAACTCCATCTGTCTTCCTTCGCAAAATACTTCTCCTTCAGCTGTGTGATTCCCACCCTCCAGCGTATTCCAGTTCGGAATTACAGTCTGCTTCTATGAACATTTCACACAGCTGTCAAATATCCTCTGATGTGGCATCAGACCGTGACACGGTACGTAACTGCGCGTACAAATATAATTTCTACGTTCATTTTATTACATAAATATGAACGGAGCTGGACGACCTAGTGGGGGTTCAATTCCTCGTACGGGCAACAGTTTTTTCTCATCTCCATGACGTCCAGACCGCCCCAGGGCTCCACCCATCCTCCTATGTAATGGGCACTGTGGTTTGTTTGCCTGGGGGTAAGGGACAGGGACATGAAGCTGACCACTAACCTCCATCTGGCGTCCAGGTCAAGAATGATGGAACTATGTGTGAATCCCCACCCCCCCAGCGTCTTCATGGCGTTGTGACTGTCAAAGTGTCAAAGTCAAAGTTATGCTACGAAAAGTCAGCCAGTCCGTCTTGGTGTCGGGCCCAAGACGATATTTATTATAAGACAGTTGAGGGTTTGTTGTTGTGAGGCGGCCTCTCTGACGAGAGGACGGGTCTATCATTTACAATTGCTGCTGGCCCTCGCCAGCGAAGTCGTTCTCGGATCCGAGTCCTGCGGAACTCATGATCATATTTTACAGTCTCAGATTGCAGACTGTCCCCAACTTGGAGGGCCAGGTCCCCGTATTTATATCCCCCCACCCCAGGAACAGGGTGATCTAGTTATGTCCCCAGGCATTTTGGTTCCCCTCCCGTCGCCTCCTACGACTAGCAGGGCTAAGGTGGAGGTATTCGAACTCGCCCCTACCGTTCTGATTGGTTTCTTCATATATATAAATTTTAGTTTGTACCTCACAGGAAACACGAGACTTCTCCGCTGCAAAGCCCAGCCGGTTAATGCTGTTAATAATCAGCCTTTATTATGAGAATCGCATGAAACACAAATGCACTGTGTGCAGAACGCAGAATTTCATTACGTTAACGTGGGTACTGCATATAAGAACACTGGGCTTCGGCTTCAAAGCGTTAAATAAGGAAGAGTTCTCGTTGTACTAACTGGGCAAATATCGCACAGAGACAAGCGTTTGTTCTCTGAGCGGCAAGGGCTTCCTCGAGCAAAACCTCAGGAGTCCACAGTGCCGTGGATTTTAGGACGAGTTACTTTTTTGTTTCTTTTCTTTCATTCTCTTCTTCCAGAATGCGAATCAAATGTGTTGTTACGGTCATCAGGGGGAAATGAACTTGCAACAACCTTGGGACGTGGCGACTTGTGACGTCAGAACCGACCCTTCCTTCTGCTTCACGTTACAACTTCTGAAAGCCACAATTTGGATGACCGAGGAAGGCGCATACTTTGCGGTTTAGTGTTTTTATTAATACCTATTTCACTGCCATGCTATCGTCTTCATAACAAGAGATTCGATTCAGCCAGAAGTGACTATCTTCCTGTACGTGGTGTTCGAAAGTTTAATGCAGAAGATAAGAAACCTGAAAGCAAACGTAGACTTGTCAAAGGTAAAAGAAAATCAAGCCTTCTCCGTGCTTCATTAATTAAGCACCGCGCCATGAACTCGTGTTGGAGAATAGGGTTATAGCTCCTCGCCACTATATGGGAGTCGTTAGCTTCACGCCCCGGATGATTAATCCCCAGGGAAAGAGTCCCGGTACACATTGCATAGGAGGCTGGGTGGGAAATGTCAAAGTTTAATATTGTTACTGCGCATAATTAATTAAACACCGGGCCATGAAACTGCTGGGGAGCAGAAGTGCATCTCCACTATTCTTGACTTCGGCGCTAAATGGATTTGAGTGGTTAGCTTCACGCCCCTGACGTTTTACCAGCAGGAAACAGGTCGACATTATCCACTGCACAGGAGGCTGCGTGGGCCCCAGGAGCCGGCCTGAACGCTGTGGAGAAGATAAAAATGTCTTTCCCCCGCCGGAAACAATACCATAGCCGTCCAACTCATAACCCATCACAATACTGACTAAGCTATCCCGGTTTCAAAAGTAAATATATCTCTGTCCTTAATCCATGGCACGAAGGCGTATGGGTATAGCTTCACTTGTTCTTAAACGGGGCACTAGATTTAGAAGCGGTGACATCTCCAGAAATGTGCCCCTATTCCCACTGGACAAGAGCCTGCGTGCGCTGTGTGTTGTACAGAGAACAAACACCATTAAACACATACAACTAAGGTGAACGAGACTCTAAAAAGGAACATTGAAACGGCCGCTGAAAAAAGGATGAAAATATCCTACGAAGCAAATTAACAACGACAATAACAATAACAGTGTGCCTAACGGTACTAAGAACAAAACGTACAGTGCAGTGGTCCCCCAAAATAATAAATGTTGCCTGATGATGGCCCATGTGTGGCCGAAACAAGTAGCAATGACATCAAATGTACATATTCAGTGACATCTTAAAATATTAACAAACAATTTTAGTGAATTACATACATATTTTAGTGTCTTCTAAGAAAGGATTGAATTTGTTGCACTACGGACGGAAAATTAAATTAAAAACTAATGAAATTGTTATGCTCCTGTGCCGAAGACTGATGTTTGTCACTTTGGCCGTGCCATAGCTCAAGCGCTTAGTCGCTGGCTTCCCACCGCGGCGGCCCGGGTTCGATCCCGTGTCTGGTCAAGTGGGATTTGTGGGGGACAAAGTGGCGCTGGGGCGGGTTTTCTCCGAGTACTTCGGTTTCCCCTGACAATTTTCATTCCACCAAATTCTCCATCATCATAATCACCGGGGGCACGCTCCAATAGGCCAATCAGTGGCTGCCGTGCCGAGTGGACCCAACTGGACTCGACCCCCCACTAAGTGAATTTAAAAAAGAAAGTTTGTCGCTTCTGTCATCACGAAGGTTACCTATTCATTTTATGGTATGCTGGATAAACCACAAAGCTGATCTGGACGCTGTAAAGGGAATAATCTCTTGTCCATGCCAGGAATTGAACCCCGGTCCTTGGTCCGTCTCCATGCTACTCAGACAACTCAGAAACATGTATGGAGTCCTCTCTTGCTTGAGCACAGAAACGTTGGCTAATGCCCTTCACATCAAATGCCTAATTTGAATATAAGATTCGTCTATATGAAGTACGATGTTATATACCAAGCTAAAAGGACCTGCTTTCTCAAGGATGGCAGGTGTACAGAAAATACATAAATCTCTTTGCTTCAGTGTACCTTCATATGCATGTTCTGTACAATAATGGACGTCGAAATTGTGTAAATATTCTCCCATGGCTGATAGAACAGCCACTATGAATAAAACTGAAACGAAGATTATTTTATCATGGTATTTGACTCTGCACTGTATCGTTATCTGTGATTCCAGGTAGAATGATACCGACGTTTCGGAGGAACTTTTTCCTCCCATCTCCATTATAAGAGTAACCCGCGGGGAGAAAGCAAGAAACGAAACTGGGCTGCAAAAGGAACAACATGAGAAGGCAAGGCCAAACGCTTGATAAAAAAAGGTAAAGATATCCCTGTAACAGGCCACGGAGGCCCATAGGGTTGTGAGACGTTGAGGCTCCCACATTATCTAGACAGTCGGCTGACAGATGGCGGTGAGGTTGTCAGCCTTACGCGCCGGCCGCCGTTTACCCCCAGGAAGATTCCTGGTACTCATTTCTGTTAAGAGGCTGAGTCGACCCCAGGGCCATAATGCGGCTGAAAGGGTTTGGTGGTCAATTGAAAATATATCCACCTCATCGAGACTCGAACCCGCGAACCTTCAGCTTGTTGCATAGTGCCTCAACCAACTATGCGACCGCGTTCCCCTTTCTGGGATTAGGCGCCGTGTATATCTTTTCTGAACCGACGTTTCGAAGGCTGGAGCCACCTGCTCACGCTTGCGGATTTTTCTACACTGAAGACTGAAGTGATATGTTCCTTCGAAACGTCGATTCACACAAAATCTACATGGTGCCAAATGCCAGAAGACGGCTTTCTTCGCATAATATGTGGGTCGTCACATTTTTACCTTCGTTTACCATCTATTTCCATCCCAGACAAAGTAAACCCTCAAAAAACGTACATCTCATGTTTTAACTATAAACGCTGTAGAACATGTGAGAGAAGTTGAAATATGACCACAGATGGACGTACAATGAGTAAATATTTGTATTTTCACTATTCATACGGGTCTTTACTCCATAGCAACTCTAGCGGCGCTGTCTTCAGATGTTTTACAGAAACAAAAGAGTGTTCATTCTTCCTATACCTGTCTGCATATGTCCTGAAAAGCCTGCAGTCTTGCCCTTGTATGATCTTAATCTTATCAAGAGCCAGGGTAGTTCAGTCGGCATAGCGATCAGGCTGCACGACCGAGACTCGGGGTTCGACTCCCGGTAGATTCAAGGGTAGTTATCTTCTTCGTAACTTCCAGGCCAGCATGGGGCCCATCCAGCCCCCGGGATTAAAGGGGCACAAGCTTCAAGGTGATCAATTCCCTGCATCTGGTACCAAGGTTAAGAAAGCTGGAGCTACATATTAGCTTCCTCATTCATCTTCAAGACGTGTTCCTTAATTAATATTATCCTTTTCACTGTTAATGGATCGTCTTGGTCAATTTAAAACAACAACTGCATGGAGGGAATGAGTAAAACCATAATAGTTGGAGTCACGCTGATATCCGAATCGGGCATCTCACAAATATAAATACCTCTTGAGCCAGGGGGCACGCTGTAGCGTAGTTGGTTGAGGAACTATGCTACAAGCCGGAAGGTTCCCATGAGATCATTTGATTTTTCAATTTAAATAACCCTTCCAGCCGCACTATGGCCCTGGGGTCGAATGAGCCTCTAACAGAAAAGAGTATCAGGAATATTCCGGGGGGTAAAGGGCAGCCGGCGCGTAAGGCTGACAACCGCTCTGCCATCTATGAGCCGACTGTCTAGAAAATGTGAGAGCCTCGACGTCTCACAGCTCTATGGGTCTCCACGGCCTGTTACAGGGAGTTGCGAGCTGGATACAAGACCACACGGAGCCCCAATACAGAAGACCACAATGTGAACGCTTGCAGCCCTGAGAATATCAGAACTTACGCGGTTATTGATATTTCAATTCGTTGAAACCGTGTGCCAAGGTTCAGTGGGAGAAATCGAAGTTACCAATAGCGGATCATTACCTTAATTGAGTTCCGTCTGGAGGATGGCCGAAGAGATGGTTAATGCAAACCGACTAATATAAATGGACCCAGTAGAAAGGGAAAAATATGTGTGGGGTCGTAAATGAAAGCAACATTTTTCCGCTCTGCAAAGAACACCCACGTTGAGACCGACATTGAGTAAGGCAGACATACCGCCCACGCGAAGCACTGCCACACAAAGAATGGCACATGTCTCCTTTGTACCAGCCATGCCCGTTAGCAGCCGGCCAGTCAGGAAGTGGGGGAGCTACTTCTGATTAAATGAAGAACAATATTAGGGTCTTAACGTACGTGTCGATCAGTCATATCACTCATTCACTCCCTCATGCAGCTGAACCCTTCTTGAGATGCCGACAATTGTGCAGCTACTCAAGAATTTCCCAACATCTTATGGAACCCGAAGGTTCACTGCCGTGTTCACAAGAGCCCTCCTGAGCCAGATCGATCCAACCCATACCATCAAAACCTATCTCTCCAAGACCCATTTTAATATTGTCCACCCACCTACGTTTTGGTCTTCCCAGTGGTCTCTTTCCTTCTGGCTTTCCCACCAATATCCTATATGCATTCCTCTTCTCATTCGTGCTACATGCCCTGCTTATCTCATCCTCCTTAACTTTATCCCTCAAACTATACTTGGAGCTCCTCAGTATGCAGTGCAGTCAGTCACATGAAGACTAAGATTTCGAACCAGACTTTGAGATCCGCTCCGTCGAATGACTTAACGGAGTACGAGTCCCTGTCTCATCCCGCCATCCTTCCAAGGGGAAACAGAACCGGTTTTGGCAACACTGTGATTTGGGGGCGGGGGGTAAAACTATCTCTGTAACATGCCGTGGAGGCCCATAGGCATGTGAGACGTCAAGGTTCCCACATTTTCTACATAGTCGGCTCACAGACTGCGGTGTTGTTGTCAGCCTTACGCACAGGCAGGCCGCCCTTTACCCCCAGGAATATTTCTGTTACTAATTTCTATTAGAGGCTGAGTCGAGGTTTTGGTGGTGGGGGAAGAAAAAATACTATATAAAGGGAAGAGACGAAAGACAATATAAAAAATTAATAGTACTGTCTTTTGGGTTATAACGTAGTGTAGTACTGAGATAGGCCGTCGTTTCGGAAGAACATATCATCTCCATCTTCAGGATGGAATATTAAGCCAACAAGAAACCAACAAAATAGAACATCCTTCTGCCATAGAGTATTAGTGTCCATAGAAATTGCAGCACATCCTCCATTTAGCCTATTTGTTTCAGGAAGGCTTCACGGCACTACACGTTTCACATTGGAGGTGTGTATATATATAATGTTCGAAATACTACCAGTATAACGAAACAACCATTCTCAAGAATCGGACATTTAACGAACTCTCATTATATGGCGGTCTTCTGAATTATGATACCGTGATATGGTATGTGGGCACCGACGTTTCGGAAGGAAAACACAACTCCACCTTCTGCAGTAAACGGGGCAGTATGAGTCTAAAATTTTGTGAAGTTATTGTCTTATTAATACTGGTACTGGACGCTTCCATCTTCTCGTGTGGGTTTAAAAAAAAACATGTCGTTTCGGAAGCTTCCTCTGCTTCCTTCATCAGAAAAACATATTGAACATAGTATGCACAGCCAGTATCTAAAACGTTTCGTTAACCAAAACGTTGAGATTGAACATGACCAGCGTGTCAAAACGCTGTTACATACCGGACTACACAGTGTCATGATCCAGAACAGCACAATGTAAAATCTTAATTTGCACCGCTAACTACTCAAATGACTGTGAGGCTACGCTGTTTTCTTTCTTCATGATGGAAAGGAATTAGCAACTTTGCTTAGCGTCTCGGTTGAGCGCTTCTGGTAACTAGAAATTTCGTTAGAAAAGAAATCTGGAAGGTAGGAAATTCGGAAAAAATACAAACAAATACAATAAACAAATCTGTGAAATATCTCATTCTATTTCTTGCGGAATCTTTACAGTGCATCCCAGCTGCAAAACAGACGTTGGATGGTGGGCGTGACCCTACAAGTGCAACCAGGGAAGGCAGACAAGACGAAATGGCATGTTGACGAGTAATGGAGCATAGACCAAGACAATGTCCTGCCCCAGACTCGCCGAACCAGCCTTTGTTATTGCAGAACTGAGACACTCAGATTTGACGTTCTGGCAAACTAGAACTGTGAAAAGTAAAATTTGCTGGTAAATGGTGCTGTATAATTTGGTAGACGGCGACGGAGATCTCGGAGTAGTGCAGTGCTTCTATCTTCACGGTTGTATAAGCGGAGCAAGCAAGCAACCAGTCAAGTAGGGGAATCAGCACTGAAGTTCACCAATTGATACTAAGCTGATTATCTAGTAATTCCAGCAACAAAGGCTCAATTTGAATATTATCAGCCCAACACCCCCGTGCTTCACGTGGACTTCTCTCCAAGCAGTTTCCATACTAAATTTCTATATGTTTGTAACTTCTAGGGTCATCCAAAGGAAGCGTCTAACGTAAGTCTTTTAGAGTCTAATATCCCCAGATCTTTTACGATGAGGACGCTGTAACCTTGGGCTACATCTGGGGGGTTCCTTATCGGATGTACGAGACTGCTTATTCAGTGCACTTCCAAGCGCATGCGTCCTTAATAAGCTTCATGGCACAGACTCTAGAATAACTTTCAGTAAAACATCGCTCAGTATACAAAGAAATAACTCATCACGGAGGTAATGATGTATTCCCGTGTGTACGAAAGTTCCTGAACTATCGTTCTCATGTTTATGTGACCACAAAGAATTTTATCACGATTTCAAATAAAATAAATAAGGCGAAATCTTCCTTGTAAATATAAGTAACTAGTCTGGAACCTATTTCTTTGGAACATAAAAAATCACACTTATTAAGCAGCAAATTATCGCTCAACACCGCGGCGTGTAGACTCGTTGCTGGGCAACGGTCATAAAACGACGCCCGTTGCTGGAGCAGCGGATTCTTAATGAAGGTGTTACGCAACCTGTTACTGTGTAACGCGAACATATTCCCGCGGAAACGGTTAGAATACGAGAATGGGCGGTGTTTTCTATGTAGTCCGTGCTGAGGAGTTACCTTGAAGAAAATTGAGGCGGTCCAAGTTTGTTCAGTTTTGCACGAGAGGCTGTTAAGATAGAACCTGAACGTATGAAACTGAAGAATCTCCACTATTAGAAGCCGTTGTCAGGGAACAGCTGGTGAAAACATACCAGGCTGGAAAAAGATTAGTGGGTAGTGTGGGGATTAGCGGTGGCGCTGTAACTATTTCTACTTCCGGGTCGTATGTATAAGTGATCGATAAATACAATATCTAATCCCAAACCCCGTCGAAAGTTACCCTTGTAGTTTGTAGACACCTGAACAAAAGGAATAGAGGCCAACAGCGATTGTGAACGAGAGACCTATCCTCTCGTAAGAGAGGATGTTACATGAGGACTATAACCACGAGTGTTCGGTTAAAAATAGTACTGGTCGTGGGTCTCAAGGGACTTGTCGCCAAGACGAACTGATTGGCGGTAAACCACTAGTCGTAAGTAACTGTGACTCTGAATCTTACGGACATCTGGTAGCGCTCCTTTTGCGGGAGATCAGCCCGTCGCAAGGCCTCTACCCATACACTACAATACAAACAGAAGAAACCTTGACAACTACACGTCGAGTGGCTTTGGAATCCAAGATCTCAGTTTGTATGATTTGAGATTGCCAGAGCGGTGGTTATGGGTTAAAACGCTGTTGAGTCCACTGAAAGTCAACCTACGTTTCGATGTTTCTCCGAAACTTCGGTTCAAGATCCTGGTGTTCGAGAGACGAAGACAGGACTTGTAGATATGGAGGCCACTGTCCTTTATATTTGCATAGGAGTGTCACTCAACCTCTTACTTGAAACCAGCTTCAGATGTGCCACCAATATGGCTCCAAGAAACAAATATTAGGGAGGAGTGGCCAAAGTGCGGTGGGAAACTGAAGATCCACTCTTGCGTTACTGTAAAGTGCCATTAAAAATTAAGCTGTGGTGAGACTGTGTGGGCTGGAAGGAAACATTCACACATAGACATACAGCTGAAGACGTGGGATTGGCAGCAAAACTGAAGTGACCACGTATTTCCCCATTCATTGGCGATTCAGGAGAAGTAGGTCCTGTGTAGAAACGACAAGCAGACAAACCCGACTCTTGTTTATCAATACAACACTGAACTTTGGCATCCCACACGGTTTACAACGAAGTCCTCAATGGGAACTAATAATAAGAAAGCTGTCTTAGGGTACTTCGTCGACTTTTCGGGGGAAAGCCTACTGCCTACATTTTCAGTGTAGAAGAACAAACAGCGTTTTACTTGCCTCGGTTGCTGGCTTACTCTTCGGCCCTGAAGATGGGGGCAGTACGTTATACCAGACACGACGAAGCAAACAGACGCTTTCGTAATCGTTCCGAACGAGCCTAAAATCGTTGCAGAATAACTGCAAGTTGTAACGTAGGCCCTGTGCTGAGTCGATTAAGTACAAGACCATGAAGACCTGTGAGGGGAGTGGAGGTATAGCTTCAGACCGGCCTCCTATCCAATGGGCATTGAGGTTGTTTCCCCGTGGTAAAAGGGCCAGGAGCGTGAAGCTGGCCACTCATCTCCATCCAGTGCCGGGATTAAGAATAATTGCGAGGAATGGGATAAAGGAATCTGGTTCAGAATAGGATCGGTGGCGTGCTTTTGTTTTCACGGCAATGGAGCTTGCGTTTCCATGACGTAACTAAACGCTAACGAGCTGGAAAACAATCAGCGAAATCATTCCGCATGCTTCCTCACATACGTCTGACTTTGTCTATACCACTGAAAGTAAAAGCGTCTGTTGTCTGGTACAACATTTCTAGTAGCGCAATACCAAAAAACGACGAAATTCGTCTGACCGACAAAGCCCGGTTCCGACAAAATCAACATTTCACGACTGGGGCCTTAGCGGTTGAGCCGCCATCTTCGTGCACATTCTCGTATATATAGTTCTATTTATAGAGCAGGTCTCCATACATGACTGAAATTTAGTCGAAATCCTTAGAACCTATCGAAATGTGTATGCATAAAGTGCAACAAATTCAATCACCCAATTCAAAATCATTCTTATAATCCCTTACGCGTGAAAACATTCACCGGGAATCGAGCTATGACCGCTAAACTCTTAAATACCAATTGCAAATAAAGGTAGCGAGGCGCGCAGGTGTCCTTCCAGCTATTCATACAGACGGCATGCCGAAAACCACTATTTTGTATTCTGAGGGGCCCAAAACGTGTCAATCCGTCAAAATACCGCGATGGCTTCATTCACATCCGCAGTATTTTCTCGCAAATATACTGCGGATGTGAGAAAGTGAGGGTACTCTGTCCCATAGTGAAACTGATGGCCTAATAATTTTTAATCCTGAGAAAACTTAGATGAAGTGGTACAGCGTTACATACGTAGACCGTTTACGATTGGTTGTTCTTGGAGTAAAAACTGCCCCCATTCGTTATACAACATGTCAAGTCAGTCCTGAGTCATGTCAACGTCCGGACTAGGAATCCCTGATACAGATAATTATGTTAAACCTGTCTGGTAGAAGCGCCGGCATCAACAAGGGTCACGGTCAAGGAGCGATCGACATCAGACATAACACAATTACACACCGAGGCAGCACTTGACCATGAGAACATACAGGGTGTTACATTTATGGGGAACATGGAAAATGCATTGTGGCGTATTTGCTTCATGCAAGGCCGGTTGAGTCACAGAAACAGCAGGTTCTAAGTAATACACGCAACAATACAACAACGGGATTATGAAATCCGTTTATAGGCAACGGCTAGGTAAACACATTTCCGCGTCTCGGACCGTGCTATGCAATGAGGCGACGTCATCAACAATACGTACTGTGTTTTCCTGAAGTCTGTGCAGAGTGTTTATAAGAGAAGTAAATTCAGAAGCTAGAAGGACGAGAATGGAGCATGTCCTTAGTGAATTGTGAACTTGAATACAGATTAGGACAGAAAAGTAAAAGTAACTGAAGACAAGAAGATTTTATAGTTATCTGAAGTGCTAGTTTCTGTTTGGAGATCCGTTGCTAGGTGATGACTAGCGGAAACTGAGAATCCTAGTGCGTGTGCAACGGTGAACTGCAAATTGTGCAAATTAGCGATAGCGCTGCATTAAGCGTGATTAAGAAAACTTGTAACCGAAGTGCCAATAAATCCAAACATCCAAACTAGAACTTGCTATCTACTTTACACGTAGATCCCTTCCTTTGAGAGCATTTTCTTTACTAACTGTGCCAAATGTAGGTACATTCTTCTAAATAAACACAAATTATGCAGTTATAAAATTTCGCAAATATGTCGTTCAAGGTCCTCTGTACCGACCGACCGAATTTTAATGTGATTTTAATAGCTTATTCTGAGGTTTATTTTTTTAGAAATTATCTTAAAAAATTGAAAAGTTATTATAAAGAAATGTCAAAGGGTATTCAGAAAGCTCAACTACAAGCGTATCAAATGCAATAAACGAGAAGCCTGCGATTCATCAGAACAAAATTAATCTAAATCTGATTAAGTTAATATTTCGCAGATGTAGCGGAAAGCCTTGCCCGAATCCAAACAGATACAATGTAAGCATTTTATATATCAATGAACATAATACTGAATGATCACAAATTATGTAAATATATTCCACTGCTGTGAAAACATCTATAAAATTCCCTTGACCGTTTTCTAAGAGAATTTCAACCAATTTACACTGTTGGTATTTGTGTAGAAATCGCTTCAAGATGTATGCTCTCTGGATTAGTGTGGCACACCTGGTCTTAAAGCCAATTCCGGAGAAGGACCAGGGATTGTTAGATTGGGTGATCATGGTGGCCACAATTCTTTCGGTATCATCCTGGCTCCGAAAAATAAATTCATCCTATTCACTGCTGGCCGATCGCAATGACCGGGCGGTCTAAGATATAAAATGTCTTCGCCCGCTCGAACACTGGGGTCGTCAGTTCGAATCCCGTGCAAGACATGGATGTCCATGTTTGTTCTGTGTTTTGTTGGGTAGCGACCTTGAGACGGACTGATCCCCCGTCAAAGGAGATCTACCGAATGTCTAAGGTTAAGAAGGTAAGGTAAAGCTACCCTTCTAACAAGCCGTGAAGGTCCATAGGGTTTTAGATGTTGAGGTTCCATATTTTCTCTAGACAATCGGCTCACAGATGGCGATAAGTTTGTCAGCTTTATGCGCCGGCCGCCCTTTACCCCTCAGGAATAATCCTCGTATTTATTTCTGTTAGAGGCTGAGTCGATCCCAGGGCCATAGTGCGGCTGAAAGGATTCGTTGAATTAAAAATATCTACTTCATCGGGACTCAAACCCCAGATCTTCCGGCTTTTAGCATAGTGCCTCAACCAACTACGCTACCGCGTGCCCCTGTCTGAGGTTAAGAGACTTAAGTGAAATGAAGCGTTTCACGGATGCCCTAAACTTCAAAGTGGGAGCAACAGGAATAGAAGAAAAGGAGGAGGAGGAGGAGGAGGAGGAGGAGGAGGAGGAGGAGGATGAAGATGATGATGATCCACATCTGTCTTCTCCGTATGACATACAGCGTCATCTCTCTTAATATCAGGAAGCTCCCTGGGTTCTGTATATGCCTTATTACGCCGCAATTCTATACTGTTGTTCATCCTCTTAAGGTATAATTTTTAAATGGATCACCCTGTAGTTATAGAGCTATATACTACCTTTGGTGGTATAAATGTTGTCTTGGCCTTACATGGACAGGCTTGGCCGTTGTGTACGTGTGTGGAACTTGTTCTACACTTGTCATATATTGGCAGAAGTGCTCTCCATCTCTCTTACTCAGTACCCTGTAGGAACAGCGAGCAATGAACGCAGCAATGCGTTTCATTGTTTAGAAACTCATCAAGAGTTCCGTGTTCCCTGACGAAGTAGAATCCCAAGGGACTGCAAATGGCCCATAGATCAGTGACCTATGTGTCACGAAGCCTCGAACCTGGGCACAACTTAACCAGAGAAGTTCTTCAAAACAAATTAGCCTTTGAATCTTCATTTAGAAAAGAATATCAGTGTACAAGTCGGCGTCCTCTTACACGTCTTGACGGTCTGGGACGTTACTTAGGGACGTAAACTTGTCCATAGTGAAGGCAGGAAAGGAAAAGTTGTTCCTCTACTTAATTAATTAAGCACCGCAACAATAAGACACTAAAAGTATAACTCCTCCATTCTTGACCTCTGCACTAGCTTTAACAGAGTGGCCAGCTTCATGCCCCAGCTCTCTTGAGGACGTTGTGGGATACAGAAGAAGCTTTGACCCTACCTGAACTCGAATCCTCATTCCCTTGTATAGTCCAATCGGTATCCTAGTCATTAGACAGAATATGCTTACCCAGCTCCGTGTATGCGTGTATCTATGTATCTATTCTGCTCGGGCACGCGGTAGTGCAGTTGGTTGAGACACTAAGTTGCAATCCGGAGGGTCGCGGGTTCGATTCCCGATTATATCATTGGATTTTTTAATTGACCTAATCCTTCCAGCGTAAGGCTAATAATCTCACAGCCATCTGTGAGCCGATTGTATAGAAAATGTGGGAACCTCGAAGTATCACAACCCTATAGGCCTCCCTGGCCTGTTGCAGGGACAGCTTTACGTTCTCACCCCTCCTTGCCGTATTCTCCTTTTTCATCATTATTTTAAACATGCTGTAACTTAACGCTATGTAACATGAGCTACTGATATAGCAAAACGTAAAAATGTCCCTCTGTTTGATTAGTTAGGCACCACGCCATGAAGACGGGTGCGGGAGTTCAGGTATAGCTCCAACATTTTTGACATGGTTACTAGACGGAGATGGTCATCTTCCATGCTCCGGCTGCTTTAACCCCAAGGAGATCACCCTATGTACCCATTGGATAAGGGGAGAACCACAGCCTGTCTGAACATGGCCAGGAAACGAGCCCCGGCCGTCCAGTCCCTAGCCTAGCCCGGCTCACCATGAGCTACTGACAGCGTCCTGGCCGCTGTACATGTATACCGGGACACGCTCCCCGGTACCCTTGGGACAGGTGTCTGGATGGAAGAAGGAAGAGAAATATGTAGGGGGAAAAGGTAAAGTTGTCCTTGTACTTAATTAATTAAACACTACGCCATGAAGGCGTATGGGGGAGTGGATGTATAGATCCACATTTTCTAGACCTTGATAAGAGTTGGAGCTGAGTGGTCAGCTTCCCGCACCGGCTGCTTTACCTCCGGGGGAAAGAGTCGGCAGCACTCATTGAATAAGAGGGTGGGTGGGCACCAGAGCCTGTCTGGACGATTTGGAGAAGAGAAAATTCTTGACGCTACCGAGACTCGAACTCCGACCTCTCAGTCGTCCAGCCCGTAGCCAATCGCTATACCGACTGCGCTAGTCCGGCTCCGAAATATGTAAGGCTACTACCGGAAATCGAACTTCTATTCATGGATCGTCCAGCCCGTAGCCAGTCGCTATATCAACTGTGGATAAAGACCGTACAGTTTCCAAACGGGTAGAAATCCATTTACACAGGTGGCCGTTGTATTTACTTGCCGTGAATGTTTAAAGGTCTTAAATAAGACGTGAAGTAATAGGAAGACACTTCTGTAACTGCTTGCATAATAATCGTCTGGGAGAAGATATCTTCAGACGAGTGTACCCCAGGAGGAGGAGGCGCGCGTGTAACGCCGCGAGGGGACGCGTCGCAGTTCGGTAAGCATGAAGACCACTATACCACGCTAGGATGCTGTTACTCTTTGGCGCTCGGATCCAGCAAAGCACACAAGCCAAGAGTTCGGTGGCCTCATGGGAAACGTCAATGTACGAATTTTACAAGTATGGGCCATGAATCCCTGGGGTACTAGTGCTCCATTAACAATTTCTGGTATAAATTTCTCCTGACATCTAAAAATTCAATTCCCACCTCACAGAAAACACAGAATGTTAATTCAATAAATAAATAAATATATATATATATTCAAGAAGTTTATTCTAAAAATAATATGACACGTAGGGAAATATGGGCAAAACGCAGTTTATTTAATGTTAAGGCAGGCTGTCGGGATTGCGACTGACTACGGCCTGTACAACAGAGGGGTCTGAATTTGAGTCAAGAATTTTCACTTCTCCACGTCGTCAAGACCGGTTCTGGGGCCCATCCACCCTCCTATCCAATGGGTACCGGCAGCTGTTTCCCCAGAGGTAAAGCGGGTAAAGCGGGTAAAGCGGCCGGGGCGTGAAGCTGACCATTCACCTCCAACTACTGCCGAGGCCAAGATAATGTGGATCTATATGTCCACTCCCCAATACGCCTTCATGACGTAGTGCTTAATCAGTTACGCACAGGGACAACTTTATTTTAAGGCAGGTGGTAAGTATGGTCATCACTGTGCTATAAGATGTTAAGTCCACTGGATGTTTTAAAATAATTTCAAACCCACAAACTGTATGAAGTATATAATAACTGACCATTTTACATTCTAAGAATTGGACCGACTAAAAATTCTTCGGGCCGGTCACGGTAGCCGAGCGGTCTAAGGCGTCCACTGTCTTCGCTCGCTCGGAAGCCGGGATCGTGGGTTCGAATCCCACTCAGGGCATGGATGTTTAGTTTGTGTGTGTGCGTTTCTCTGTGTTTGTCTACGGGTAGTGGCCTTGCGACGAGCTGATCGCTCACCCAAGGAGTCCTACCGTATGTCTAAGATCTAGAAAAACAGAAGTGAACGGAGAAATTCATGGAGGTAGGCCTAGGCCCACTGGGGCTGTAGTGCCAAGGAAAAAAAATCTTCGAGGAAACAGCAGGTTTATTGATATTTCAGAGTGTTTCTAACATCGTTCCAGACACGATATTTAGGACATCTTCAGGAGACAACTTACTTTTCCCCCCCAAATACATGTGTAAAATCCCCGCACAAATACCACTGACGCGGATTCAACAACAGATCTGCTAAGGATTTGAAGAAATGGGTTGTGTTAGCCAGTAAAACACAACATATTCTTGTGCTTTTGTATCACGTGTTTCATGATAGAGAATTATATTTTAAACTTAAGTTTT